CTTGAACTGATATATGATATTATTGAAATTCTGTGTTTAGATTCTATCTTCTTTTTTCTATATTTTTGTTTATAATCTGTTTGAAACAAAATCCCCTAAACCTAACCCAATTGCATGATAAAAACAAAATATAATGAACTTGTGTCCTTGAGAGATGACCTATGTTAGTTCTTTGTATTACATAATTTTTTAGAAACCTAGTTTTGTTTGATGGCCATTACGACGTGGTTATCAATTAACAAAAATGTCTTAATGAAGCCATCGTCTTATACAATATTCATCTTACTAGGCAAATTGTGACATTATATTTTGTTTTTATCATGCAATTGGGTTAGGTTTAGGGGATTTTGTTTCAAACAGATTATAAACAAAAATATAGAAAAAAGAAGATAGAATCTAAACACAGAATTTCAATAATATCATATATCAGTTCAAGGTTTCAATTCCTACGATGTAATTTTCATTGTTCTCAACAAATACAAATTCTCAATCAACCTAATTCAATTTAAAATTAATCAATACAAAAATCTAAATTTAGATTATGAATTCCATTAAAACAAGAACTGCAATCACAAACTCAAGGTTCTAACAAAATTCAAGAACGATATTCGATTGAATTAGGAGATTTAGGTTATTTCAAATATGAAATTACATCTTCTCATTTCTATTTAGGGTTCAAAACAAAAATTCAATATCGTGAAAAGTGAAATTATCTTAAACAGAAAAGAAAAGAGGAAGAAAGAATTCGTTCGGTAAAAATTAGGAACTCAAATTTATCATAGTTCTTGAAACCCCAAACCAATTGATGGATTAGCCTTGCCTCATAATCATGTTGCTTCAGCCAATTCCAGTGTAGAAGAGAGAAATTTCGTGAGAGAGAGAGAGAGAGAGAAATTTCGTGAGAGAGAGAGAGAGAGAGAAAATGAGAGAAGCTAGAATTTGAGAGAAACTTGCAACACAAGTAAACTCAAATCTAAAAAATGAGGGAAAATTTCAATGCAAAGATTCATTACGTGTATTTAAAGACAAATTAATGGGCCTAAACTAAGGGCTCAACCCACTAATTACACTCCTAAAGTCTAATTAACTACAACTAAACAGTTTCAAGACAAGTTGAAAATTTCAATGCAAGGCTGCGAGCTTGAGGCGCGATTTTGGGCCTATAAACATTGGGTTTTTCTCCTCGGAAAATTTGACAGCAATTTTCGACGGATTTTTCCGTCGAAATTTTGACAGCAATTTCTGACGAATTTTTCCGTCAAAAATTTCTGACAGAATTTTCTGTCTGAAAATTCTGTCGAAAAAATTATTTCTAACGGATTTTTTTTTCCGACGCCACTTTTTCCGACGGATTGATATCCGTCGGAAAAAGCAAAATCAGTCAGAAATTTACCTATTTTCGTCGGAAATTTCCGTCGGAAATTTACCTATTTCCGTCGGAAATCAGCATTTTTCTTGTAGTGAATTGAACCAACATTCTATACTTAGGAATAACCAAAATTACTAGCATCCCTTGATAGAATTATATACCATATCAATACTAGAATTTAGAACACCAAATCAATGTTTATTAATTACTATAAATCACTTATCTCTGGTAGACATCTTTGTAGTGAATCTGTTATTACAATAATGGTCACATACTCATTTGTGTACGTTAAGAACAACTTTTCTACTAGAATTCTCTCTATCACAATTGCATCTTGGATAAAGCAAAAAATGGCAGTCACAAAATTTATAAAAGTCTAGTGGGATCCTGTTCATTTAGTTTCTAAAATCCCAACTTAATATCCATCCATCACATATATTAAATCAATTAGATCCTGCATAAAAAACTTAACACACTTGTTTATTGGACTTGACCCAATAATCGTATATACTTACATGTTGATTCCCAAATCCAAAATAGATCACATAATAAAATGGGTGTATAGGAATATATATATATATATA